TTTTTTTTTTTTTTTTAGTACTGGGTATCGAACTCAGGTCCTTGCGCTTGCATAGCAGGCGGCGAAACCACTGAGCTAAATCTCAGGCCCAATAATGGATCTTAAAACTAAAATTCTTTGAATTAGTATTTTAAAGCAACCTAGGGCAAAAAAAGGGGGCCAGGGTAAGGAGTGCTCTTATAACTGAGAATGAACATTTTGCAGCGATAGATACCTTCATTTATTTATTGACCATGTAAGTTCTGTCTTTTCACAAGGCCTATTCTAGATAGTGCTACAATAAAATCATTAACCGGACATGAAGACAGCAACTATGACTCTAATGCAGTTTTTGTTTTCAGCAGCATTTATTGTCTACTGTGAACCCAGCCCTATAGTTTATAAGCATATGCAAAAATATTTAACAGATGAACCAACTTCATTTTTTACAATGCGTGTGAACAGTGATACAGCACCTACCTGTGTTTCAGCTGCTTATGTATACTCTTCCAGTAACTCGATGACATTATACCAGTTTATAAGTGAGGAAATTGGGGCACAGAGAGGTAAGACTCTTGCTCAACTCACACTGTTAGTTAAATAGTGGAGCTGGGGTTAAGAACCAGGCAGTGTGTCTCAGGTTAGCCTTAGTTATGTTGGTATTTCACAGACATTTATTGAGTACCTTTTATTGATAAGGGATTGAGTTGAGTCATTTCTTAAGATTTGCTCATTCATTCATTCATTCATTCAAATACTTTTGAATATCTACTATGTGCCATGTCTCTGATTTTATGGAATTTATGGATTAGTGGGGAGTCAGACAGTCAATAAATACATACTAAATTTTCAAATAGTGAGAAGTCTTGTGAAGAAAATAAATCCAGCGAAGGAGCTAGAAAATGCTGAAGGGGTGCAGGAATACTTTTAGATTTTATGGTCTGAAAGCCCTAATTAGGTGTTGTTTGAGCAGAAAGCCATTTGAAAAGAACCTAGTTACCTGGGCCCCTGGGGGAGAGGCATGTTCCAGGTAGAGCAAGCAGCAAGTATAAAGCCCCTGAGGTCAGAATGAACCAGACCAATGGAATCATTGTATCTTGAGTAGGATGAACTGGGAGAGAAAGGCAAGTGCCAGTCCTGGCAGCCCTTGTGGGGTGTGAGAGGGAGTTTGGACTTTTCTTCTGAATGTTTTGGGATGTCTGGGAGTTTTGAGAGGAGCCAGATATGTTTTTATTTACATTTTAGAAAGAGCATTCTAGCTGTGGTATGGAGAACTGACGATAGGGTAGCCAAAGTAAGGCAGGAGGCCTTGGCTTTGAGCTCAGGGATCCCCTCACTCCTTGGTTTCTAGAATTCATGTTTGTCCTGAATGCTGCCACCTAATAGTACCTGCCCTCTAAGTGCTGCAGACCCAGCCACTGGAGGCCTCTATTGGGTGGAGAAACCTGGGTCACTCAAGTCACCTAACCCCTTGCCAGCTCCCTGAGACGTTCACCTTTCCCCTTTGCTTTTATTTTTCACAGCGACCATGTCTTGAAGAGTCATTTGGGGATAAACTTGTATTAAAACCTTAAGGAAAAATGTTGTTTCTTCTCGTTTGGCTTTAAAAACAGAAGTTTCACAGGAGGAGGAGGAGGGGAAGGGGAGTAAAAAGGATCTTCTGATATGTATATGTTCCAATTCCCCCATGAAGGTATTTACTGTGTATCAAAACCAAAGCTTTGTGTTTACCCAGAAGGATTTGTGACTAGAGCATGCAGATGAAGAGCAGTGGTAAGGGATGTAAAACCTCATGAAGGGGATTTGGCTTTGTGCAAAATGCTCACCAAGAACCAGAAACCTGATCAGCCTTTGGCACAGCAAATACTCACAGCTACACTTCTGGCCAAGTGATTTAGTCATTTTGGTTTTTTGAGACAGAGTCTTCCTATGTAGTTCAGCTGGCCTTGAACTCACTATGTATCCCAGGCTGGCCTGGAACTCAGTGATACTCCTGCCTCAGCCTCCTGAGTGCTGGGATTACTGGTGTGCACCACCACGCCTGGGAGTTTGATCTTTTTGAGTCTGCTTCCTCATTGGTGGAGGTGATACCTGTCCTGCTTCTCAAGAGGCTGTGATGGAGTACAGTGACGTCAGAGTGAGATGTGCCCTGGGATCCGAGGATGATATTGCTGCTCCTTGGCTGTTTCTGTGTGCTCCAGTTCAATTCCAGGGGCCCCCTAGGATGAGGGGTTTGAGTGCTCTCCCTGGTTGTGTGAGCCCATGAAGAATCTGGAGTGTGTGACAAGATGTGACTGACTCTTCCCTCCATTCTGTCTGGCCACACATTTCAGACCTTTGTAGGCTGTTCCTGGGAGGTCCCCAGGCAAGGTTTAGGGAAGTTGGCTTAATCACTGCAGAACCTGGCGAGACAGCGGATAATTACACCAAACACACACCCACACACGGGCACACACATGCGCATGCACATGGGTAAACCAGCATCCATAAATATTTTATTACATATTTCTAAAAGAAGTCTTTGTAAAATTATAATGCTTTCATTATCACACTTAATGATTTCATAGTATCAAAATGCTGATTAATATTCAAATTTCCTTGAATCCTCTTACATCTTTTACTTTTTACATTTTGTTTTATTGTAATTGGTGATAGTTCCCTTAAGTTTTACCTATAGGTACAGTCAGTTCTCCACACACCTACAGGTGCTTCTTCCATGTCTCTGTTTAGCCCCCTTGGACTGTGTTTATTGAAGAAGCTGGGTTTTGGTTCTCTTTAGTTTCACATAGTGTGAAACCAGTTTTAGTTTTGCTAATTGTATCCCCAAAGTATTATTTAACATGGTCCTCAATCCACTGTCTTTCCTACAAATTGTTGTGTACAGAGGCTAGTTCAGGATTCGAACATATTTTTTATTTATATTTCAGGCAAACACACTTCCTGAGAGGCAGGGTGAACTTCTTTAATGAGGCACATCATTTTTAGTTGTCTCTTTGTGATGATGATTGAGTTGTTAAATGTCCAGCACTTAATTAGGGCTCAGGCCTCTTAATGTTTACGTTGGCCCACATGGTGGTCCTTAGAAAGGGGAAAAGAGAGTAGTATTTGGTCTATTGTACAGTTCTTTTTTTGTCACAGTCTAATTGTGGTCTATGCACTGCAGCCAGTGTTGCTGGAAGATGAACTGGATGAACTTGGCCTTAGAATGCTGCCATCATTTGTTTCTCTCATAAAAGATCTGTTTGCACAAGGAACATTGAGTGAGGAGAGGCTCAGATATTTTGAAAATACTTTCATGTTTTAGAGGTGTTTTCTGGTTTGGCTAAACCAGCTACTTTTGCTGAAGTTCTCCATTGTGTGTTTTCATTTAATTTGTAAGGTAACTTTTTTCTTCCTTTAGGATCTCATTTTACCCAACGGTGGTACTCCAGCAGGCACTTCGAGTCCAGCCTCTTCATCTTCCCTTTTGAATAGACTTCAGCTTGACGATGAGATTGATGGTGAGACCAGAGATCTCTTTGTCACGGTTGATGACCCAAAGAAGCACGTCTGTACAATGGAGACCTACATCACGTATAGGATCACCACCAAAGTAGGTTCCTTTGTTTTATAATGCCGAGTTAAGTGGTCCTGCAAAATTGGGGTCCTACCTCCACGACTTCTGCTTTGCTTTCAGACTCCCTTTTTACAACTCCAGTCACCCTTATTATGATTACGAGTGTTGTTTTTAGAGAGTGGACCCATTAAAATTATTATTATTATTTTGGGGTTTTTTTTGGTACGGGGGATTGAACTTGGGTCCTTGCACTGGCGGGGCAGGTGGTGGCACCACTGAGCTAAATCCCTGGCCCTATTTTGGTTTTTTGAGACAAGGTCTCACTGTGTAGTTTAGGCTGGCCTTGAACTCATTATGTAGCCCAAGCCGGCCTGGGACTCATGCAGCGATCCTCCTGTCTCAGCCTCCCAAGAGCTAGGATTATAGTGTGTGCCACCACGCCCAGAGAGAATTAAGAGGATTATGTGTAATAAGTTGTTTTAAAAGATAAATCTTTTTTTTTTTTTTTTT